GTGCTTGATACAACCGCTTCCCTGTGGATCGATAACTCGTACTCCGAGAATTATTTGTTTGCAAATATAGTACGCATCAGAAAACGCAGTTTTCACATCCATTTGTTGCAACTAAAGATTAAAGTGTGCAACTAAAGCCAGAATGATTCGAAGGGAATCTTTCTTTGATACAGGAGAAAAGGTCTCCTTGTAATCAATTCATTCTTTTTGAGTAAATCCTTTAGCAATGAGTCTGGCCTTGTACCTCTCAATGTTACCTAATGAGTCTCTTTTGGTTTTAAATACCCATTTATAGCCAATCGGCTTGGCCCCATTAGGTAACTCAAAAGGTTCCAAACTCCATTACTCTTCATGAATTCATTTCATCTTTCATGGCTTCTAACCACAAATCGGACTGTGCACAATTCGTAGCTTGTGAAAACGTTATGGGATCATTTTCAGGTCCAATGTCAGATTCTTGTAGATACGATACATAATAGCTAGGAACTGCTGAACGCCTTACCCGAGTAGACCGTCTTAACGTTGAAACACCAGTACCTTGTGAAGGTTGTGGCGCAACTTCCTCTTCAGGAACTGGATGTAGTTCTTGAATTGGTTCAATTTTGATCTGTGCGGGTTCAGGATCTTGCTGAAAATCCTGAATTGGTTCAACCATTGGCTCAAAGTCTAGCTCAGGAGGTTGCTGTAAGTCCTGAACTTGTTCTTCCAATGGTTGAGTTTCAACAGCTTGTGGAATCTCAACAATGGGTTGCACAACCGCAGTCGGGACTGAAGGCGCATTGCGTATAAGTACAACTCCGTTAGATGACGTTGAAGGCAAGAGTCAACATGATCAAATAAAGGAACTAAGTCCTTAAATCGATCTCTCCAACTGATCAAGTCATCTTCAAGAAACTTAGCATTTCTTGATTCCACTATCCTAGTCGTATGTTTTGGACAATAAAACATATAACCCTTAGAAGACTGTGCATACCCAATAAAGAAAGCACTTATAGTCCTCGGGTCAAGTTTCATTTCATGTGGGTTATAAATCCTCACCTCAGACGGACAACCCCAAACACGCATATGATGCAAACTCGGTTTCCAACCTTTGAAAAGCTCAAAAGGTGTCTGGGGACAGCCTTGGTCGGAACCCGGTTTAATATATACGTTACCGTCTTGAGAGCATCGGCCCACAATGATTTTGGAAGTGTGGAGTTGCTCAACATACTCCGCACCATGTCCAAAAGAGTCCGATTCCTTCGTTCAGCAACACCATTTTGATCCGGGGAACCCGGCTAGGTGTATTGGGGCAACAATCCCATGCTCTTGAAGGGAAATTAGCAAACGGACCCAAAGCTTGTCCATTTTCTGTGTATCTACCCATAATATTCACCACCTCTGTCTGACCTAACTATTTGTATTTTCTTCTTGCATTGGTTTTCAACTTCAGCACTTAAAGGTTTTAAAGGGCATCCAATGCTTCATACTTTATGATGAAGTAAATACACATAGGTAAATCTAGAGAAGTCATCTATAAAGGTAATGAAATATTTCTGACCCTGCATATCCATATCTGGACAGCATATGTCAGTATGAATTATCTCTAACATGTTGAACTTCTATTGGCACCTTACTTCGACTTGTTAGTATGCTGCCTTTAATGCAGTCTATACAAGTTCCAAAGTCAGTATAGTCTAGAGTAGAAAGTACTCCATCCTTTTAGCCAACCTTTTAATGCGATCAAGGGAGATGTCTCCCAATCTCCGATGCCACAACATTGAAGATTTATCGTTAACACTACACCGTTTGGTGCCAGTTTGAACATGTAAGGAATCATAACTTGCATCGTTTTGTAAGTGAAGACAATAAAGACCATTAGACAGTGTACCATTTCCAATACAAGTAGAATTATTAAATAATTTAAAGTACTTGTCTGAAAAATTAAAACTGAATCCAACGGTACAAGTCTTGAAATGGAAACCAAATTTCGTGAAAAAGTTGGTACATAAATGTCCTCTCTAAATTCAAAACAAAACCACTGTCTAAAACCAGCCTGCAAGTCCCTACAGCTTCAACCGGCGAGCCCATCTTATTTCCGGAGAAGATGTTTCGCTCATTTGACATCGGTTGTCTCAGATTTGCATATCCTGTAAAGAATTTGCAATGTGGATTGTTGAACCAAAATCAATCCACCAAGTGTTAGCATTAACGTCTGACATATTGGATTCAAAACAGACAAAGGAAGAGATCATACCTTTTTCAGACATCCACTTTTTAAACTTTGCACAGTCCTTCTTCATATGCCCCTTCTTCTTACAGAAGAAGCATTTCTGCGCTTTCTTAATGTCAGTCTGAGGTGATAATTTTGCCTTCCTTTAGCTGTAGTGTGGCGCTTGCCAGATCTCTCTTTATGCTTTGCTATTGCAAGCATGGCACTCTCCCCCTTTAATTCCTGACGTAGTCTCCCTTCTTCTTGCACACACTTATTAATTAGATCATTAATAGTCCATTTCTTGTCATGTGTGTTATAAGCAATTTTGAAGGTGCTATACTCAGGTGGGAGGGGTGTTTAGTGCAAAATGCACCACAAATGAGTCTGGCAGCTTAATCT